TTTTTTGTTAGTAGAAGCATTCGTAAGTAGAGGTACCACTGTATATTGTCAATTTCTTTGGGCCTGATGAGATTGTGATTTTACTTTGATTTTTTAATAATAATTTACCAAAGTCATCAAATTCAAATGTGGAAGAGCATGGAATTGATGGATTTGCCCATGTCTGGTTCTGGTTGGCACATTAGTCCTGGAAGTACAGATCAGGTTGGCTTCTTTTTACACATGAACTAAACAAAATCCTTGTTTGAAAAAAGTCCATCATCTCCACTCAGTGCTGATTAACATTCAGTTAACATTCAGTTACTTATCACATAAAGGTTTGCACCTGTATATGACAACTGCATTTACTGTAGCAGTAGAGCCTTAGCTGTTAAAGGACTCTAGTATTCACTTTTATAAATCTGAAATAACCTCACATTAATTTTAAAAATTAAAGGGGGGGAGGGAATCTAGCAGTACCTTTAAGACTATTAGATTTATATTTTAACATGTGTATCCACTTCCTCAGATGCAGTGCCAGAATGATGCTGAAGCCTCAAATTTATTAAGCATATTAATACAATTGAGGGAGTGGGATAGAATGTAATAGGATCCATAAAGATGCAAATCTAGATCATCACTTAAAATCTTCAAAGGGCTGTGTGAGGTGATAAAGGTCTTTCAAATCTTCAAAGTGGTCACTTACTATTGATGTATAAAAGCAGTAAGTCTGCATACCAAAAGTCAGTTTCTGGGTACCATTCTTGCCTTGCTGATTTAAGGTTTTTTGTTTGTTTGTTTGTTTTGCTTTTTGCAAATCCAGGAGTTTCTGTCTTATGGATCTGAGCTGTTGTGTCAGAGGGCTAGGCTGTAAATAATAAATTTGGCTGTCTTTTCTAAGTGGAACCTGGCAGCATATAAGTATGTGTAACATTCAGTGGGTTTTCTATACGGCATGGTGCTTAAAGTCAATTAAGCAATTGGTGTCAAATAAGTGAATTTGTTGTGTGAATTGTTTCAGGCTCAGGTTAATGGTAGGCTAGAAGTTGTTGAAACCCTAGTGAAATTTCTCAAGTTATTGCTTTCCATGGATCCAAATGATAAAGATGTCATTGATGAATCTCAGGTGGAGAGGTTTCTGGGTGCATGTGCTGGGGAGGAATTGTTGGTTAGCCATGAAGATCTTTGCATATTGCCATGCCATATATGTCCCTATAGCAGTGCCACTGTATTGTTACTCCCAAACTTGAAGTAGTTCTGAGTGGGTACAAAGTGACAGAGAGGGGTGGCTACATGTGATGATACTCTTTATGACTTATAGTCTATCTGTGTGGAGTGTTGGTGTATAGGGATTCCACATCTATAGTGACTAGGAGCTTGTCTGCACTGGGGCAAAAGTGTGGCCACTAGAGATAAAGAATTGTATCCTCAACCTATTCTGCCCCAGAGTTGCCCCAGATCCACCCTGCTCTTTGTTTATCTAGAGGGACATTGGGTAGATATCTACACATGCCCTTGCATCTGGAAGTCACTTTGGTCCACCACCACTACCTTTCTTCTATCAGCTCCCTGACAGAGCCAGAACAGACTGCTGCCTGGCAGGCACTACAATTTACTTCATTGCCTGGGTCAGCTCTGGCCCAGAACAATTACAGAAAGAGCTTTTCCCTTCTCAGTGGCACTACTGGTGCACTGTCACTTGCTTTGAGCTCAGAAATGAGACACCCAGATCTCATCAGTGCCAATGAAGGACGAATTTTTTTGTAACTGTCCCAAGCTGAGGACTGGCCTAGAGATTGAGGTAAATGACATCTACCAGGCAATGATCTTTCCTGCCTCCCCACACGTCCCTTGAATTCAAGGTGGATTCATTGTTCATACTACAGGAGTGTCCTGGAAACTGGTCAAAAATGAGCGTTTTTTAAAGCTGGGTTAAGGCGGTACACACTGAGTTTGGTGCAGATAGGACTATATGTAATGTGGCCTTATCACACCAGATTTAGAGATACGGT